ACCCAACCCAAACCCAAACCCAAACCCAAACCCAAACCCAAACCCAAACCCAAACCCAAACCCAAACCCAAACCCAAACCCAAACCCAAACCCAAACCCAAACCCAAACCCAAACCCAAACCCAAACCCAAACCCAAACCCAAACCCAAACCCAAACCCAAACCCAAACCCAAACCCAAACCCAAACCCAAACCCAAACCCAAACCCAAACCCAAACCCAAACCCAAACCCAAACCCAAACCAAAACCATACCCAAACCCAAACCCAAACCCAAACCCAAACCCAAACCAAAACCAAACCCAAACCCAACCAAAAACCTAAAAACCCAAACCTAAAAACCCAAACCTAAAAACCCAAACCTAAAAACCCAAACCTAAAAACCCAAACCTAAAAACCTAAAAATATTTAAGTCCAGACCCAATGTTTCAAAGTTCAAACCCTAGCCCAATTTATTGATTATTATATCATTCGATTGTAAATGATGAATAGAACAATGTATTATATTTAGTTTTTCAATTTATAAAATATTAACTTTGTTAATAGTGTCAGATTAAAATTTGTAAAATGAAACTATAGGAAGAATGATAATTTCAAAATCCTTTAATGAGATTATATAGTATATATCATCATTAACAACATCTATAATCACTCTCATATCAAATTTCAAAAGTTCAAGTCTGTAGATATAAAAGTATAGAGGGAAAAGGGAAGTTGTGAGGTAAAAGAGGTCAACTATAACTTTTGAGTTTCTCATCAAAACATATTAAATCCTGACATGTAAATGTTCCATTTGATGAGTAAACATCGAATATCAAATTTATTTTAACTTTCATATTTACAGATTTCTTCCCTCAACCATCATGGTCAACTATGATGAAAAGGATGAAATCTTGAAAAAGAACCACCTATTGAAACTTTACCATAATAATGTAGATGATATATAATGATATAGAATTCAATTTCATATCATAAGAATCAGAAATGGGGCCATGGGAATGTAAATGTTGAT